TTTTTTTACACCCTTTGATAGAAAAATCAGAACTATCTCTCACAAATAACTTGTCCTGTATGTACCCACTGAGGGGTTTGAGTGACCAATTAATTCAGGGTAACAACTTTTTAATAACCGATAAGTAATTGGTAAGAAATTACTAACCAATTGGAGTCTGTAAAACTGGACAAAAACGAGTTACATTAATAAATTATGGGGGTTTTTCCACCACTGAAGAAAATGGAGTTATCAAAACGAGCCACTTAATTGATAAGAACGATAAGACATTGATAAGACAGCGATAACTCAACCATAACCCCATGATAAAATGCCACTAAGCCTTCCTAAACCTTCGTTATCCAGAGAAATAATTCTAAATTAATTCTGATTTGATGTTCCCTTTTATGTCTGATCCATGTTGATGATCATGGAGGGCCTTCCCAACCACAATCATTTCAGGATATGATTTTAATTAGCAGAGTGGATCTTCCCATCAAACCCTATATTGACGAAATACAATAAAATGTGATTTCTATTCAACCAGCTTTTGTTGGTGCCTTTGAAAATTAAAGTTTAATCAGCCTGAATGATTAATTCCACGACACCTTGGCGTGGAGGTGAGAGTGCTGTTCAGCTTTTCCATGTCCTGTGGAATCACAGCCCCTGATTTTCCACTTCATAATAATGATAATAAACCCTCAAAACCACCTGCAATTGATAAATCCATCGGCAGACCCCAGCAAGCAGATGGGGAAGGAAAAATAACCCCATGAAAATTAAAAAAAAACCCAAAAACCTTCTGTTTTAAGTAAATCCATAAAGCCCCACCAGAATAAATCAGAATAAATGCCAAAACCAAACCAGCAAAGGCCTTCTGGGGGAGAAAGGCTGACAAAAATATAGAACACACCTGGTTAGGAAACTCCACCTAAAGAAATTATTAAGAATTGAGCAATGAGCAGAGAAAAATAGAGGGAGGAAGGGAAAAGGATCAATTTTAACAAAAAAGAGGGGGGAAATGGCAAAAACCCCCTGTGAGAAAGGGGGAAGAACAACAACCCAAAGGCAAAAAGCTCCTTAAAATCTTGATAACGAGAACAAATTCTGAATTTTTCCGAAGCAAATCTGCAGGTGCCTCAGAGCGCTGCACCAGTTCCATGTCAGTATTCACCATCCACAGGGTGCCTGGACCACGGATTTTGGGTGTTGTCACCTCCTGCTCTCCCTGTCCCCACCCTGACGGAAAAGTTTGGGACAATCCAGAGCACCCGGGTCAGGGAATTGTGGAAGGATTTGGGTGGGAAGGGACCTTAAAGATGTTTAATTCCAACATTTGGCCTGGGCAGTGGCACCTTCCACCATCCCAGGTTGCTCCAATCCCATCCAACCTGGCCATGGATGTTTCCAGGGATGGGGCAGCCACAGATTCCCTGGGAATTCCATCCCAGCCCCTCACCACCCTCACCGGGAGGAATTCATTCCCAATATCCCAAATTCCCTCTGTTCATTTAAATCCATTCCCCTCCT